GTGACTGCAGTGACAGTCAAATCCGGAACCGAATGCCGCCAACCATGGGTAGGTCCCACACAGAGGGCAATCAACGTGAAGATTGTTGATAAAAGATTACAGCGGTCAAAAGTCATTAGGTTCAAGGCTCGAGGAAAGGATCATTAATCTAGCTAGGATAGGGTAAGACTGATCATGAAATTTGTCTGTTCGCATAATCTGAATTTCATCCGTGAGTCAAATGTTAAACGAAAAGTGTTGGTTGGAGCGCAGTTACAGGTATATGTTTGGCTATCTTAAGTAGTCTGTTGAGAGGAAAGTGGTTGAATGATTAATGGAAAATGCCTTCAATAATTAGAGTGTTGATGGTGGGAATGTTGATAGCCAATTTTAATTCCGGAACAATCTCCAAACGCGCAACAAAATGGCCGAAGCAAGACTGGACGCCAGGAACTCGACAGACCAACTTCATCTATCTAAATCGAGCAGTTGTTGGCTATGAAGATTTTCATAGACTCAGCGACCAGCCTTTGTTGGGCTGAGAACAACTCCTCCCTGACGACCACGACATCTTCGAAGTCAGTTTCATGCCCCGCGTGTAGCATATGCATTGATACAGCCGAGTTTTTGAGCAAAGCCCTATACTAGAGCTCGTGAAATGTTCTGAAATTCTCGTACGTAGTTCCCGTGTTTTTTTGCCTATATACAGCTGTGCGCAGTCTTTACATTGGATTTCGTAAATGCAGTTAGTTGCTTTATCTAGGAGAAGGGGATCCTTCAAGTACACAGACGTCGACCGCAGCACTTGACCTTTTTGGAAAACTATTACGATTTCCCTATTCAACACCCACTGAATCGCTTCCAGAGTTCCTTCTTTATACGGAATACCCACTGTCGCTATTCACTCCGTAGTAGGTCTTGGACGTGGGTTGCGGCATTTCTGTAGCTGACGTCTCACCAACTTACTCGGGTATCCAATAGCTACTAAGTATCTCGTTGCCCCACTTTGCGATACTTTCTAACTTCCCTTTACATTTAGTCGCCCTGTGAAACAGTGATGAAGCGAGTCCTGTAAAAGCATTCTTCTGGTGGCCAAAACGATAGCTAAGTACTCTGTCTATATCCGTTGGAGTTTGCACTACATTGTCGCTTTTAGCGTTTTTTCGTTCCGGTAGACTAGACAATTAATGAACGGAAGGGTACCGCTCCACGACTCATCAATAGGGTACAAGTAATACGAGAATTCATCGCTCCTATACCATTACATAACTACAAAATTATCGTCCACGCAGCGCCACCACGCTGGCCATTTGTCTAATCGCAGACTGAAGCATATATATATATATATATATATATATATATATATATATATATGTGTGTGTGTGTGTATAAAAGTCTAGACCCTGTATTTGAGTGTTTCTTTTCGACTGTGTGAAATAGTTCAAATCAAGGCACAACACTAACGCTACATCAGTTGATCCACTGTAAGCTTTGTTTTGGCCCCTAGGCTGTTTCCTGTCAACAAACAGCTTCTCGGCAATCTTAGCGCCTCCTCTTTTAGTACATTTGTGAACAAGCCCTCTGGTGTGGTGAGTACCCTATCAATTACAAACATATTCCAAGATATCAAAGTCTTGTTTGTTCGTTTAGTGACAAACTGTACAAGTTTGAGCAAGCAGACAGCTCTGCGAAGGCCGGATCCAGTGGTTATATAAGCACTACTGAATGGGCACTGCATGTTTCGGCATACGTTTCGCGTTTTCATGGTGTAGCGAGCTGTTGTATGACACATCACCGGTACCTTCGATCAGCGAGTAGCCGCTGGAAGTGGTCAGTTAATTTGTTGATCTTCGTAGTAGTACACTTCATCACTGAGGGCAACCAACGTACTAACAAAACGAGTGTGGGTATTCAGGGACAAACTATTTATGGATATGGTGGGATATCAGCTTATCAGTACACAACATTGCGAAAAGGTGTGCCTGGTCACTCCGTTCCTAAGATACTGCGCGATTCACCGCCTTTGACCACCGATCGCTCACATCTGGTGGAAAAACCGGGTGAGCGATGCTGTTTTGCAAGGAACCCCTGGTACCTCACTGGAGTGCCTGGTAAACGCAAACAATTTACGTTGGCTAGGTCATGTCTACTTCAGGCTCGATGACCGTCTTCTTCGAGGTGTACTGTGTGCTGTCAATGCACCCAGTTGGTTTGAACTGCCAGCCGATGAGGAAGCACAATAGCATGGAGAAACTAAATGAAAAAACTGGTTAGGCTGATGCTTGCCATCTTAGTGGGTCGGGATGAGTCACAGTGGGGATCAGATACCGGATCGGACACGACGCCATCGCGCAATCGGTAGCGTTCTGGCATTTCGGTCAAATTTTACTCATTTCTTAACTCTTTCGTGTATACTCTATAAGATTCACTTAGTTTTTTACACGGTTGTTGTTTGTTGTCATCTCGATGACGCGAGTCGCAACAACCGCACCTGCCGTAGTTTGGTGCCAGAATCTAAGATGTTTAGATGAACTTAACGTCATCACAGCGGAGTATATGTAGCCCCATGCACCATCGGAAAGATGGGAAACTTTTAATTAGGAATGAGGAAGAGGTCACCCAAAAGAAACTAACCATGTATTCGTTTGTTAGCTTACGACTGAGTGGCCAATGCTGGGTAGAATGACCCTGCCAACTTCCTGTTAAGTATCAACACACGACCCTGTGCATAAAAATGTATACGAAACTAACATTGAATGGGTTTACACAGTATGACACACTGGTTGTAGAACGAGTTTGAACGCCTACCGGTTACACGTTTTCGTGGTGCAACCGATTAATGATGAATCCGCGTAGCACCGTAGAGGGCGAACTGTGTGCGAACCAGTGAACACTATCCAACTGGGACATCTAAGCAGAGTGGCGTGTGTGACTCAAACAAATGGGAGCAAAATTCAAACAAACAAAGCACCTAATGCTCTAGTACATAGGAAAACTATAATTTTAGAATATTTTAAGATAATTTACAGGCAAACTGGGGAATCTCTAGGTCGCTACAGGGTTACTTTAGCATTGAAATCAACTGAAAACCATCGAGTAACACAGGACAGTCAGTGGTGTGATTTCAAACAGTGGCTACAGCAACGCAGTAACAAAGAGGCGAATAAGCTTAAGCAATCTAATCACAGAGTAAACGATGTGATAACACCTACAGATCATTATATACGAGTTTAATGGGTACTTCTACGATCCAAGGTGCTCCTGCGTCTGGCAAAGTTGGCGAGGTTATGGTGATTTTAATCGATTCGCAGCATCGCTGAATGCTGCATGAGGAAGTATTCGACTCCAGTGAACAAGCCAGGAAATGTACAGGTAGGATGCTAACGATTAAAGGTTTAATGACGATGGAATGGGTGAGGGATATCTGTTAATTCAGTAGATCACGTTAGAAAGCCCAGTCAACAAAGTCGCAGCGCTCCAAACGCTTTTATTCGCAAACGAAGGATGATGACCATAAATGTGACCGAAGACCTACCGGCTAGACTCATCTTCTGAGTCAAAAAAGCTGGTCGATTCCACATCAGAGCTCATCAACGACGAGGACGTTTCGTAATTTTGAGCGCGCTGACCAAATTTTAGTAACCGAGAACCTGTGCAAGAAAGGAAGAAGGTAACAATATACATACTGTGTGATATGGTGAGGGAGAAGTCAACGTATGAAGACTTCTAAAGGTCCAAATGTTAGAATACAGAAGGCTAATTTACAAAAGGCTAATTTGGTAAACTCACTCGGTAAACGACTGGAAGTAGACTTTAGCCGAAGGGTGATTCGCAAGCGCACAGAGAACACCTGCTGTGCCCATTCACGGGTTCTAGATGACCGAGTGCAAGCGTGACAAGATGGACACGTAAACGGCAAAAGTCAGCACATTCCTGACTACCATCACTAGACATGAAGCCAATATGACCGAGCACAGGATAGAAATACACTAGACCGATCGGTGCAAACAGCCCCCCCCCCCAAAAAAAAAGTGTTCGCAGAAGACAGCCATGAATTGCACTAACACAAAAGCAACCGAAGCGGCGTGAACATAAACGCCAAACCGGTGAAGACATTGTGGTTACCCAGTTGGCGGGTACGAGTTAGCAAGAGGAAAAAACATGGATCAAAGAAAACCTGGGTACTTCGAAATGACGGCAGGACAACAGCTTTGCCCGATGCACTTCCATCAATTAGGTTGCAAACGCGGAGCAGTATGAAGACGTGGCCGAGAACAAATAACACAAGGAACGAAAAAACAGGAAAGAACATGAAATGCATTAGTAGAATGAGTGAAGGATGCCTGTAGAAGATGGTCGAACTAAAGAGGCAGCGAGAACAGGTTTTGAATAACGCGCGTGCCTCTTTTTTATGAAGCATATGACAGCATATGACAAAAATGAAACTAATTGAAGTTCCGTTTATAGAAATAAGATTGCAAAGGCGAGCGAGTAAGGTAAAACAAAAAACGTTACCGTGTTTGTATGCGTGGAAGTTTCGAAGAGGGGGTACACGATCTAAACAGAAGTAACAAAAAGAGAAGACATTTTAGTACTGATGCTGCACGGGAAAGGTGAGGTATACTATTACACAATGAGCAAAAGGATAAAATGAAAAAAGGAAGGTTAAACTGCGAAGCATAGAAAAATAGGCTCATTCCCAGCACAAAAGCGCAAGTACAAATCAGAAAGCAACGATTTTGAAGACATGAATATTTAACGCCAAGAAGTTTGAGGTATGGAGATAACACAGGAAGATAGCTGCAGCAGAGGTCCCGATGACGAAACAACGAAATGCAAGGTTCATAGTTCAAGGTTAAATCACCTCTTTACGGGAGCAATTAGCCATCGCAACAAACGGGATAAGCATCAAAACGCACTTGCAAGAACTGGAAGTGATCGGGCCAACAAAAAAGTATGCTGCGATCCCGTTAACCAGCTATGATTCCAGTAAAGAAATACGACGGATTGGTTGGCTTGCTGGGGTTTCCGGATTATCCCGTTCCGGTAAATAGTTCGGCGGCAGTGTTGAAGGACATGGTAGGTTTTCGCCTGGTAAGCGTTTTCAGTATAAAAAGCTGCATATGTTCGTTTAACAATACTGCGACGTGGTGAATGTGACTCGCCACAAAATAAAGCCAAGGCCCGTTGCTTCACCTCGGTAGAGCATTGTATTTCAACAACGGGAAGCTGAAAATGTGGGGAATATTGGGCTCCTGTTTGTCAACCGTCCAAACCGAAGTTTTGTGAACTGAGCAATCAGTCACCGGCTCCCAATGGGTGCGATTCCCTGAATTCGCCCCGTTGTCTTGCGGGTAAACTTTATATATATATATATATATATATATATATATATATATATATATATATATATATATATATATATATATAATTTATCGTTGGCGGCATCCGGTTTCGGATTGCCCGTCACAGTGCATTTCACGTGGATAGTCACAGGGCGACTGCACCTACTCAGGGACCATGGGTAGCTTGCGCTGCATCACCCAGAGCTCCATCCACACACCCCATATCCAGAGTAAACACAAAGGAATAAGACCGCAAGGTATGCAAATGGGAGACATGTTTCATCAATGGAGGAGTAGGCAAAACGAGGGCATAACTTACCGCCGCTATACATGGAATCCGTTTCGGCACAGGTTTCGCAATCGTCCAAGGTGTGGCCGGTTGTGCCCACGGCATGCTCTTGCTCACTGGGTACTTGCGCTGGTTCAGATCCCTTGTTAGCACTAACCATTGATTGAAAGTAATAGTATCATAGAATGATGAATAGGGGTCTACACACAGCCGTTGTAAATAAAAACGAACAATGAGAATGACGGTAGGTATCTAAGACAAAGCTACCAAAAATGAACGGCACTTGATACATAGATTCAGTCTTTGTTACAGGTGCCTATTAAGATGGAGGATATGTTTGAATTTCAGTAAAATCCGAGCAGTCATCGAACTAACAAATAATTAATTAAGTTGCGTAGATAAAAAGGTTACCTCAGTAATTAATTGGACAGTAATAGCGGTCTGCGGTGTGCTACAGAGATTGCGGAAGTGGCACTTAATGATCAAGACGACGCAGACTTCGAATGTCCTCAAAGTCTGACGTCTATTTCACCTGAGGACACAGGTTAAGTCAGTCACAAGAAATCCAGACATCATCAACAGCAACAACAGAGCAAAAGTGATCGCATCTAAAGTTTAACTGCCGCATTACTATGATGACCTTGGTGACGAGGAATAAGTGTGCAAAGCCTAAATGCCAAAGGCAAACATGCAAAGTCAAGGCGCCCACATACTGTCAACCACACGCGGTCGCAAATAGCGGGCTATCCATGTGAGGATAAAATGGTACCAGTGAGTGACTCTGAAGGTGCAAAAGCACCATCCAGCATAGCACAATGGATCGCTGAGGCACACAAACCATCGTAACACGGTAAGGTCCAGCCTCATTGCGATGGCTCACGGGTACCATTTTATCCTCCCTCTTGACCTACGATCTCATTTCGTAGTGTAAAACATAATTATTCTTTATGCCTAGCAGCCAGCTGGTAGCTTACCGCAACGATGACTATCCGTTCCGGGTAGCTCAGGTAGCATGCAACAGCTATATTTATTTTTCTTTTCATTTATGTATTGCGGCACAGCCGCTGAGGTGTTTCCCACCTCTAGCTGACGTGTATAATGATGATGATGATGATGATGATGATACCAGTGAGACAGCACCGTTCCGGGTTCCACTGTCCCACAGATAATGCAGCATCGGATACACATTAAATATATAATTTGACAAGGGGAAGACAGGAAACGCGCTACTAGGGTTGGCTGTAAGCCACGCTAATCACAGGGTGAGTTGCACAGAGTCCAGCCAACAAGATGAGAGGAACCTACAGTACCCACTGTAAACGTAAATGGCTCCATTTCCTTCTACCAAGCCACCGGTTGCTCTTTGTGAGCACTGCGCCTTCAGATACACGATAAACAAAACGAAACTATCCTGGGCATGCAGTGACCGACCATAGGAATCATATGCTCAAACCAATGCAACTCGTTTAATTTCACATGGCGCCCAAACGAACAAGTCTGATTGTCAATGACCAACATACGGCGGTCTCACCATCATAAGCATCACCAACATTATACACGTTAGCTAGAAGCGACAGACACCTCAGCTACTGTGCCACAATACAATTGGATTATGCCCCAAAAGCGAGACTGGAATTGGAGACGGAGGCCAAGCGAGAGGAAGATGGCACTGAGGTCGCCTCCTTGTGATATCAACAAGTGACTAATCAAATGAGACCCCAACCGGAGAGTCGGAAAGAACCAAAACAGGCCAATTTCGAAGTAACAGTCTGTATTTCTCTTATTCAAGTCATCAGCTGCGTAACAATCTTGCTGCTAAGTTCACTAGCAGGGGTGAGATAACTGTAAATAAAAAGTATGCTGCATTAGCAGATAGAGAGAACAGATAAGGTATCGACCCAGTCTGGTAATAGTAATAGTAACAGTGTAAAGCATGATGACTTATGTTGGTCACTAACTTAATCGGCAGTATTTGCACACGGACATTTCTTGCCAAAAGCGGCCAGATGCTGAGTATAGTTATCAGAATATTATCATTTATTAAGGCTTCAATCTATCTGCTCTCAAATGAAGATCCAAACAATTATATGCTTACCTAACCCATCCGTAACATGAGTTAGCTTTTGACAGATTATTGTAGTCCCCGTAGGAAAGTTCCATAGCAAGAATGAAAGCTGTTGGTATGTAATTCAGTGAAAATCAGGGGCGATCCATTGGGCGTATTGCATGAATTGCCGAAAGTTGAAGATACATTAAAAGCATCATGTGGAGACAAACATTAGTCCGGATTCGGAAATGAGTGTGTTGTAGACTGACGCTACAAATGCGGTACTTCACACTTGTAGCTAACATCTAGAATGATGATGCTATGAGGTGGCAAGCCACAGGAGCAATCTTACTACATGTATCACGCGAGAACTATGGGAATCTGAAAATTGGGTTTGCGGTCAAAAATCCCCGTCTCGAATGCGCTCGCTCGTGCGCTATGCGTTGCCCGACACAGTAAAACTGGTCAGCAAGGATGCACTGTCGACACCTATTGAAAAGGATATCTGGGCGCATCCGGACCTCTAGTTCAGATGAAGCAGAATTATTGCTTGCCGAAGATTTCAGGCCGATGGCATCTGTGAAGTAGGGTTAAGCATAACAATTAAGAAAATCTGCCACAGCAGTGTGTCAATTAGGATTTGTTACTGACTGACATAAGTTTTCGCCAGTAGGGTTGACGCTTTACCAGATATCAACTGCCCTGGTCCAGTAAGTTCACATTCATTAAATACACCAGAAAATCGGATAGCGTGCCGACTGTTTCCAAAAGGGTGTCTTGAAACAACCGTCTGCTCCGGAGGGTTGTGGTACTCGACATCCGAAATAACCAATTGGAAGTGTACGTCAGTGTCACCATCGCACACTCACTCCGAAGATGTAAAACAAAGAAATGGTAGACTCATAATAATCGTTAACGAAAGTCCGTAACCGTGAGTTAGGTTCGGCTACCGAGACGTACAACGCCAGGACTAAAAACAACGGACTTCAGATGAGGTGCTCAATGGTGATGATTAAGACAAGAACAAGCAGTGACGCAGAAGATAACTGAGGAGTTTCTTAGCCCAGTACTAAGTTAACAGATGGAAAAACTATAAAATGAATCATGATGCTGACCTGGGCGGTTCGTAGCTTTGCCAGTGTCCCCAATAGTCCCCCTGACTTAATCTCGAAGCCGTAAAAAACAAAGGACACATATTAACTGGTTTGTGTGCATGACAAGTTGTTTTGTATTCCGGTCCATTAAGGTGAGTCAACTGTCACAATAAAGTACGGTACACAACACTAACGGCTCTACGGGCCATAAGTAAGTGAATATCTAGGTATCATCGAAATAATACAGAAATAATATATGGTGCATGTCCGGAAACTTTCCACATCGTTCACAAGTGCTCTAATACGAAGTTAAGTGGTAGTTAAACTTAGCCCTTGGGATCACGCGAACCGCAGACGGAAACGGAATCACCATGGACAGCAGTAATTCAATCATTTGTACGGCTGCTTCGCTGCCGTACAATTCCAATGAGCTATGGAATGCAGATTAATAAGAGGGAGAGAAGGGGGCTGGCGTAGAATTTGCATGTTTTAAGGTTAAATGCTCCGTCATTTCAGCAACATACCGTCATAGACAGTTGGCTATCATGCGAAGATAAAGCGGTATCGGTGAGACATGTTCCCTACCTCATAGTTAAGCATTACTCCACAGACAGTACGGAGGGAATAGCACAACAGGAAGAACACGGATGGAAATCGAGAACCATGAGCGCTGGACACAACGAAATTAAAGGAAGACCATTAAACTGGAATGCAGACAAATGGAGCAAGCATCACTCATAATTAAACATCTTCGTAGCTAAGCTAGATGTCCAAGCGCAAACAAGTCGGTTTCAATTCGGATACCACCAATAAAAAGGTGAAGTACATAAAATATTGGAAAACACGATGCGCTTGCCTGGCAACTGGTTTGTTCTGGATTGGTAGGTGACCGGAAGTTTGCCCATCGGCGCTGGATGAATGGTGGTCCGATTTTGTGCTACTATCCGCGGAAACCAGCTAAGAAGAACTAAGAAATATTCTTTAAACTACCCAGCTGATAACTTTTCCATTAAAGCAGGGAAGCTTAGAGTCATCATTGCTAATCTCCTCCTTGACGACACTGTAATCGCGGCGCTTAGATAAATTCCATAATTACCCGAAATCGGCGTCAAGTGACTTAAAAAAGAACTTATAGTTCGGACGGTTCAGAGCATTTTTAAAATCGCCGAGAGTAACGGTGTCCGGAGGAATTGTCAATTTGATCAAGTAAGGAGTATCCTCGTCGTCTATATGATAGATGACCTTTGTATCCTCCATCTGCAATGAGTAAGCAGTGTATTATGCGTCCGATTGAGAAATCCTAGGACTTCCGTGTCCAATGCGTATTTGGGTTACGACAGACCTGAGGTGGCTGCAAGACAAAGTAAATAAATTGTAAGCGACTTGATGAAGATATCACAAGCACATAGTAGGAAACCAAACTGGATGTAAGGTGCATCTGGCTAAGATTCAAATTCAAGTCCAGTTGGGACCGGAACAACAGATTAACTCCGCGAACATTCTTTCTTCTGCTTATCGATCAACCAGGGATTGATAGTACGATGATTTTGATAAAACAAAAACAAAAGCAGCATCATACCCTGGTCAACCAGTTACTACCCACATATCCTGCCCAATAGTCCCTGCCTAGTCGGCCCGTAGCCTGAAGGTAATAAGCTTGTCTTGTAATCTCACGGCGCGGGTTCGAGTCTGCGTAAGGGCAGGGCGACCCACGCAGTGTCCTTAGCCCACGTGCGACCGGTGGCGGTTGCGCGGCAGCGAAGCGTCGGCACTGCGTATCGGTTAGGTGAAGTGAGGAAGAGTGAATGGTAAACTCAGAATAATGATAAAACCAAGGTATGGGAGGAATTGTAAAAAAAACCAAGAGAAAGTTGAAGACACAAATCAGGAGAAGGGAAAGGTTTAGCATATTTAGACGCGCGAAACTCGCAACCGTAGATTCTCTAACTAGGTATTCCTGAGGCAAGTTACAGTGTTCAATAATGGCGCGACAAACTAGTTCCCGTCCTAACCCGGTCAGAATGCAGTTTGTGCAAATTCAGCGGGTGCGCGCGGGGACTAAACAACCTAACGAGGCTAAATAACCAGGATAAGTCCGGAGCGATCTTACCCGTTAAAAAGTGAGGACTGAGCCCCTATGTACTGGGTATATCCCAAAGTAAGCAAAAATTCGAGATACGTCTGTTTTCGCAAACCCTGCATTAACCCAGTACCCACTCGCGAAATCCCCAGTTCCATTTTGTCTTGTAGAGACAGTGGACAAGCCTGGACTTAGTATTACAAATGAAGTCGCAAAGAAGCCGGGAATAACCACAAAAATATTATTCGTTAAGACTCCAAGCGTACGGTAAATAAACCACACCATAGGGAGAACTCCATAAACAGTCTTCTTTCAAATGTCCCCATAGTGAAAAGCTGAAATGCAGACGACATCTAGATCAACCTGCTGAGTGATAACAGGTATATATATATATATATATATATATATATATATATATATATATATATATATATATATATATATATATATATATATATATATATATATATATATATATATATATATGATGATTTGGCGGCGTCCGTATCCGGATTTGCCTGTCACTGTGACGTCCATGGGGACAGTCACAGGACGCCTGCGCCTACAAAAGGGACCATGGGTGGCTTGCGCTGCACCACCCATAGTTCCACCCACACACCCCATATCCAGTGTAAACCCGAAGGAATAAGACCGGGAGGCATGTGGATGGGAGCCACGTTTCATCAATGGAGCCGGCCCACACTCCTTCACAGGCAAACACAAGCACACTGTATTTGGGAATCAAGCGCACACAAGGCGGTGGCTGGACCGTAGTCCGCTCCACACTGACTGCATGGAACCACTCTTTGATCCTAACACGGCCACAAGGACCGTGCACCCTGTCCCCTCCAGCAACGACCAACTGTCTCCTGGAGCCAGTATGGACGAGGTAGCGGGTACTAGACAGGTAGGCACCTTGTCAACATGCACATCAAGCGCAGCCACACCGGGGATATCAAACAACAGCCAATCACTTGAGAGAGAGAGAGAGAGAAAAGAAAATAACTCGATTGATGCATAAGGAAACGGTGACATAAACCTTAAGTTAATGAGCATATGAAATAAGTTGTTTACAAACGAATCCTAGATAAGTTCACGAGGTGAGAAAGTATACTATACGGAAATGCCACGAACACAAAAATGTTATGGAAATCGAATACAATTGGCTTAAGCGAGGTGTGCAAGTTAATGGAATAGAGTACAGGTAGACATTTATGTGAGAAAGAAAAGCATTAAGGCAAAATTGAAAACCCACCACCTGAAATAAAGAGACTTAGCATGCAAGCACGCGGTTAGTAAAAAGAATGCAGCGTATCTACAGACGCTGCGCCGGTTTTGAATACTTCTCTGCAGGACCCGTCGTCGCTTCTGTAGTGGTCCCGAGTGGCCTCGCTCATGGCTCACTAAGCCTGCCTGACTAAGGCACTCGCGACCGCATGTTCTACAGCACCATGCGCTTGATATCGATGGAGTACAACTCATCGGTGCTTGCCGCTTCCGCACTTGCCGCTTCTTCTCTGCATGCATGAGGGCTTTCTCCCGCACTTCAGCAACTGCCTTCGTGATTAGATCGCGCCATGCACGCCGATCAACCGCCTTCGATTCCCATGATCTGCAATCAAGGTTAGAACGTGTGAGGCTCACTTTAATCATGTCCTGGTAACGTAACTTTGGTTTCCCCACGTGCCGCTTCCCAATACTCAGCTGACCGTATAAGAGTTGCTTCGGTATCCGCGTCGAATCCATACGGCTCACATGACCGAGCCATCTCAGGTGTCTCAATAAAAGTATGCAGTCCACTGCATACATCCCACTTCGGCGCAAAACTTCCGTGTCTGCAACTCTGTCGCCCCAGCCGATCCGCAAAATTCGTCGCAGACACTGCTGATGGAACCGCTCGAGATATCGCATATCCCGACGGTACATCGTCCACGTTTCACTGCCGTATAGAAGAACGGACAGTACCATGGATTTGTACACCATCAGCTTCGTGCCAATGGTAAGCTGATGGTTGTTCCACACTCGGTACTCAAGCTTCCCGAATGCTGCCGCTGCCTTCGACACGCGAATACGCAGCTCAACGTGTAGCTGCTGATCAGTCGACATCAAACTCCCAAGGTAGCTGAAACGGGAGGTGGTTTCCAATACTACAGCACCAATGCTGATTCGCGGCAATATTGAAGATTGCACCTCCGGTGAAGGCTGAAAGAGACAGACAGTTTTGCTTGTGTTGATGGTGAGTCCGAATTTGGCCGCTGTCGAAGCCAGAGCACTAGTCATGTGCTGCAACTCATCCGCGCTGTGTGAAAACAACGCACAGTCGTCAGCAAACAGCAACATACGGATAGTTGTCTCACAGACTAGAGTTCTCGCACCGAAACGACGGATGTTCAGCAGCCCACCATCAATACGGTGCTCCACACGAACACCGTAAGCACAAGCGGCATCAAAAGCACAAGACAACATTGCATGAAGATATATATTAAACAGGGCAGGAGCTAAGACACAGCCTTGCTTCACACCAGAGACAACTGCAAAGTCATCCGAGGTCTCTCCACTCAGCTGCACCCTCGCTCGCATACCACTGTGCAGACATTCAATTAAACTTACAAACTTACGCGGGCAACCAAACTTACCAAACACCAGCCACAATGCCTCGCGATTCACCGTATCAAATGCCTTGGTGAAATCAACAAAAAGCGAGTACAATGGCTGGTGTCGTTCTCTGCACTTCTCTTGCAACTGACGAGCCGCAAACACCATATCTATAGTGTTGCGACCCGAACGGAATCCACACTGCTCCTCCGCCACGTTAGGTTCCACAACCTGACTGACGAGGCGGTTGAGCAGGATTCGGGCAATCACCTTGCCCACACAACTCAGCAAGTTGATGTCACGATAATTCGTGCAACATTGCTTGCTACCTTTGCCCTTGTACAGTGGTAGCACAAGGGCATCCTTCAGCTCAGGAGGCACCTCCTCCTCAATCCACACGCGTTGCACCAAGTGGTGCAGCGCAGTCAACAACGCGGGTCCGCCGTGTTTCAACACTTCAGGCGGGATCCCGTCGGCTCCGGCACACTTGCCGTTTCGCAGCTGAGCAAGTGCTCTCTGCGTCTCATCCAGTGTCGGCGTATCCGCCAGATCCGCCTTCACATCGTGCTGCTTCAGGCCGTTCAATGTAGGCCAGTCGATCTCTGAACGGTTGTTCAAGAGACAGTCAAAGTGTTTCCGCCAGATCTGCATTATGTCTGCAGTCTGGGTGCAGGTAGCGCCTGAACTACCATCGATCAGTGTCCTCAGCGGCTCCAATCTCGGTCCATACACCGCCTTCAAGGAGTCAAAGAATTCCTTGTGTTGACGGCGTTCGGCGTAGCATTCCATCTGCTTCGCCTTCTCCGTCCACCATGCATTTTTAATGCGACGGAGCTCTCGGGTCAGTCGCCGTCGAAGTTTGCGAAACTGACTACTCTTCTCCCAAGTCACTGGGGTCTGCAACATGTGCAGCAAATGCTGCATTCTTCTCCGACACCAATGCGCCAATCGTCGCATTGTTCTCATCAAACCAATCAGGCCGTTTACAGTTTGCGCGCCCGATGGTCTCCTCGGCAGCAGCTGTCACCTGGTCGCGAATGTGGTGCCACAGGTCGCCCACTGTGGCTATGCAGTCCACATCACACAGGCGTGCAGCCATCGCCTTCTCCAGCTCAGTACGTTTCGCCACAGTACCGAGGGAGAGAATGTTAAATTTACGCCGATTCACGGCGGGAGTGCAATACATAGATTTACGAAAATATATGTACAGTTTGGTCCGCACCAACTTGTGATCAGTGCCACACTCAGCTCCACGCAGTACACGTGTCATGCGCACTTCACGCATATCACGCTGACGTACGATGACATAGTCGAGCAGGTGAGCGTGACCACTCCGTGGGTGCGTCCAAGTTGCTATATCACTCGCACTCAGTGCAAACCGAGTGTTCGTGATCGTCAGGCCGTGAGTGGCACACAGTGAGAGCAGCCTGTCACCGTTCGCATTCGCTGAACCAATGCCATGCGCACCGATAACATCTGTCCACGCTGATGCATCACGCCCAACGCGCGCGTTGAAATCACCCAGCAGAAATAGTCGGTCGCTCCTCGGCACAGACCGTATCACGGAGGATAGCTCAGTGTAGAACTGATCACGCGTGTCATCAGGATAACACATGGTCGGACCGTACGTGCTTATAAAAGTAGCAAACTTACCTCTTCCGAGTCGTAGGCGAACA